ATATATTATGATGTGTAACACTGAAAATAAACAATATTTGATTAATCAATCATCATCATTCTTTCAGAACTTGTTTAAACGATACTTCATTCGTCTCGACGATGAACCTTATGTATATATGTTAAGAGAGAATGATATTATTCATATTCATTTATCTCGATTAGGCATTGCTTTCAAATACAACTGCCGTAATAAAATAATAACTTCTCGTGAATACTCTGATATGTACATCGACGAAGATCAATGGTTCGGAACATTGACAGGTTTAAAATCAGGTCTTCTTCTTTCACCAATCGCAATAATAAAGCAAAACAACAGTCACTATCTATGTCGAAAATTAATCGTTCCCTTTGGACAAGTTCAAGCAATCAAGAAATCGAATGACGATCATCAAACTGTGACTATAGAACGAAAATCATCATCAACATCATTTATTCATGAATATTTTGTTTTTATTTTGAATGATCGATTACGTATTCTTCAACCAACTGATAGTCCAACAGGTTGGCTCTATTTAGCATTGTTACATGCAATGACATCGCATTCTTTACCCGACCAATACATGGGAATGACTGGTATGGAACGTTGTTTTCAATTGTTGCATTCAGCAGGCTGTTGGTCTGCTCAACCTTATGATTCAATTACACGAAATATTCTTCTTCAAATTGCAACTATTTCACCCAAAGTTAATTTTTATCCAGAGCATCTAACTTGTATGATAAAAATCGATTGGAACGAGAATAGTTTACCGTACTCAATGCAACATTTCGGTTATTATTTGATAGTAAAGAAATTAGTTGAGACAAGTGAAGAATGGAATTTCATGTATCCATCATCCATCTCTAATGATGAAATACAAAAATTCTTTCAAAGCAAAAAATATAATGAAAAATTATTGGCTAAACTCTATTGGGACTATCGAGATTCGTACAACCCTACAGCTCGACTATCTGCACAGATGGAAAAAGAGATTTGTTGCACAAATTCGACAAAATCATATCAACCAGTATGGAACAGTTGTTCATATTCAACGAACTACAGTCCTCTTCGCCTTTTAGATCATTTATATGATAGTGGAGATGTAAATTTGAAAGATAGCGAAGAACTCAGATGTTTTCCTTTATCTCGATGGCTTAAAGATGAATATGAACTTAAAAATATTTGGATTGGTTTGTTTAAATTAGCCGAACAGCTCAAGACGGTCGAAAGTGATCATAAAAAAGATGATATTGAGCGATTTGAAATGTTACTAGACTTTCTGCATTATATTTCTAGTAAATGTTCGAGCGAACCATTTTATTTGCAAATGCTTAAATCCATATTGAAAGCACCAACTTTACCATTGGGATCTATCTCATACCCTGAATTTACTCGATACGAACATATTCAGGAAATTACATT